GCTACCGTGCTAGTAGTAATTAAGATGGTATATCATTATGCAGGATAGCTAGCTTTCTTGTATTAACAGCTTACAGTATGAAAAAAATGTTAGCAGAAGCTGAGTAACTTTTTGTAGGAAACATTCAGCACTCAACTTCAGGAAGCATTAAGCAGCTAGAATCAAATAATTGTTTTGTACTAACACCAGCATTGAAAAGACTTTGCCTTATAAAAATTAGGCACATCTCATTCAAACGGACGTCACTCAAATTCTGAAATACTCCATCTACAGATCAGGTTTTGGTTCAAGCTATGTGATAAATAAAACTGATTTTTTGTATTATTTTTCCTAGCACTATCTCATTTTTACTACATATGGTCAGACTCCATAGTATGATGCTTGAATCAATCTTCAGCTATTCTGTTGGTTTCAGCAAAATTAATTCTAGATTCACAGCAGAGTCTTGCAGACTACGTGGTGTAGTGTTTATGCCAGTCCAAGCTCACATATGCAAGGATCAATGTTTATTTCATTATGACAAAATATTTACATCAAGAATACTGATTCCCTAATGCCAAGGTTGTGGATTTGCAGTATTTATGCAAACAGCTTAATCAATTTAAGTCTACGATATTACTTTGTAGCCTCATACTCGTTTTAGGTCACTATCAAGTGCTGCATCCCACACGTGAGACTTTGTCAGCCAGAGACATGAGATTCATGTTTTAATTTTCCTAACTATTTTGCTTCCTATAGTGACAGAAGGTAGTATTTTGCCTCCTGGTTGTTTATTTTTGTGCTCTGACAGAAAGAATATTCATAAAATCTATAACTAAATTTGCCAGGACAGGTTGCTTTGTCTATCTGTGCCTACCTTTCTCATCCTGAAGTTAGCTCTTCCTGCAGCATTTCTGGTATTTACTTTGACAAGGTGCAGAAGTCTGTAGGAGGCTCTTGGCCTCTTGAATCTATAGAACCAAAGATTTGTACGTGCAGGCGGAGCTGCATGTCAAAACGCATGTCTGCACAACACGTTGTGGCAGACAAGTAGCACAGTAATGAAAGGAAATTGTAGCATTTTTATATAACTTTTCATCTTGCTGTCAGCCGAGTAGTTTGGATGTGAAGCTAGGCAGACCATACTAGGATTTGAAATAGTGAATTGATATGTTCAGAGAGTCATGATGCATCTTCCTTTTTCATAATGTTTTGGTGCCCAAGGGCTGCCCCGTAGCTAAGTTTCCCTTGTGGGAAAAGGTGTGACTGAATAAACAGACTCTCTCTTTCTGCAGAAAAGGAGAGATAGAGAAACCTCAGGATGCGGGGGTGAAAATGCAGTTGAACATACGGGAGACAGATAAGAGGAGCAGGATGGAGAGAGAGAGATGTGAGACTGTTAGCATGTGTGAAGCATTGCCACATGTCTATAGGCCCCAGAGCAAGGAGAAAGCTGGCTTAGCCTCTCCAGACACCATGGGAGGAAGAAGACCCGGTGTATTTTGCTCATGGGCTTAAACATAATGGGAGAGCAAGGGTTGTCTCTTGCACAATTTTCCAATCCCTGTAATGGACCTCTGCATCAAAATTCAGGTCCATCAAAATATCCTGCTCCTGGCTCTGAGTTGCATGCTTATATAGAGCCTTGTTTTTTAAGGAAAGCATTTCAGACTTTGATGATTGCTGATGAGCTCCCACTCTGCAAACCTCTTTCATCACCTTTGGTAATTACAGTTAAAGGCAGCTTTGGCATGTGGTTGTTATTCATTCTGACGTGGATTACTGAAGGGCTCCAAACTGTAGTGGAGCACAAATACATATCTAGTGCAGACTTTGGAGAGGGGGAATGAACTAAGTTCCCCTATAAATTGGAGCCTAAAGAAATAAATAGCAGGGTGTGGAACTGTTTACATTAAAGGAAGTGAATATTTTAATATATTCAAAGTTGTCAACTTCTCAAAAACTTTACTGGAAGCAAGTGACTAAGTCTGAAGGATGAAACTTGATGCCCAATAGCTTGTTTTTCTTTCATGGTCACCTGATAGTAATTGCATGTCAAGCCAAGCCTTCACCTACCTCTCTCCTCTACAAAATCCACTGCCATGTATACCTGACAATACAGAATACTGTAGAAATATGTCGTACTCCCATTTGCTGAGTGCCCACCAACTTGTCCCTCTAGATGTCTTCTGCCTTTTCCTGCTGGCTGCGTGGGTTGCGTGGCTTGTAGAATTACTATTTATATCCTGTGCAGTTTGGAGATGTGATGGCAATGTGTCGTAACATGAATTCCTGACTGCTGCGGTCCTTCCTTGCAGGGTTAAATGCTGTGTGCTGTGACATACTGCAAAATATCCACGCTGAGACATGGGGTCTGTACCACTAATTTGAACCCTGCCTAGAGGAGAAAATCTAGTCGAATCTAATGTCATACAAGGTGTTGTGTATTTCTCTCCAGCAGGATTAAGTTCCCCAGATGGTGTCAGTTTCCCTATTTTAAGCATAGACATATTCAGAAATAGAACTCACATTCAAAAATCAAGCTTTATTCCCCTGAAAATCTTCCATTAAAATATGCAACATTTTTCCATGAAAGTCTGTCTAACAGTCTATTTTCCATGAATCTCATGATTTTGAATGCAGAGGTAGATACCCAAGTCCAAGAGAATCTGAAATGTTGTCTGAAAGTAGTGTTAATGTGAAACAAATTACTTAGCAAACCTGTGAAAATATATCAGCTCAGGCTGAAAGCAGTTTGCCTGCTTTTGGTTGAAGGGTGATAACTGGAAAACTAAAAAGCTTTAAAAAATCAAAGACTTGATCTTGAAAAGTAAACAGGTGGGTTCTTGTTTAAGATTGGTTCCTAATATTCATGAATCATCACAGAGTAATCTACATCCAAAATTGCACATTTGTTCTGAACAACCCTGGCCATTAGCCAGAGGAGGGAAACTGGGAGAAGAGTCTGAGCAGCATTGTAGTATACATCTATTGAAAATACCTATTGCAAAGGATAAGCAAAAAAATATATATTTTGTTTTAAATCAGACAATATGAAGAAACTGTGAAAACAATGAGGGGCAGCTGTTAGAAAGGAAGTTTAAATTTTCATGGCTGCTCAGTGGTTATGGTATTAATAAATTATGGTAATTGGTAGATGGCAATAACAGCAGGTCTGTGTGAAGCAGACATGTTTGATGGGTTGCATGGCATTTATGAGAGACAGATGTGGTACGTGTCAAGCTTGCTGTATAAGCTACTCAGTGTGGTGGATTCACAGTGCAAGGCCTGCACTAGGGCTGTCTGTGTCTGTCACAGTACACTTTTTCTCTGCTATCTATGTTTATAATTCAAAAGTACCTCTACTGAATGCCGTGCAGTGTCAATAGCTGTAGGTTTGGTCTGTGCCAGAATATCTTTGCCAGTTTGCATATATTATTCAGGAATGCCTGGGAGGGCTTCAGAATGGTTTGGTTTGGCTTGATTTTTATTGCCAATATTGCTATACTAGTTTATAGCCTACTGTGGATACAGTTTTTTCTATTGTTTTTCCTAGGGCTGAATACCCTGTATAATTTTTCTTTTCTGCCCAAGCTCATTACTTGATTTAATAATATAATGCTCTAAATGCATTGCAGTAGAGATATGTCTACTATGTTTTTGACAGCACTATTTATGTGCAAAGTGCTATGGAAAAGAGCTTTTTATGCTTATATTTTTTGTGCTCTTCTGAAAAAAAAAAAAAAGGAAAGAGATTTTATTTTCTAGTGTATTTTCTATTGCAGTCATTTACACCACTCTGGTGTATTTGCAAAATGACTTTTTGCCCATATGTGGTACTCACGCAGTTGTAAATAACTACCAGAAGAATTTCACAATTAAGTCCTATCTGTTTTCAGGTACGTGGAGACGTGTGGGAGGAAAGACGGTTTCAATAAATTAAATGAATTCAACTTATTCTAGAATTAACTCAATATGGAAAATGTTCTTTTGTTTTAAAAGAGCAAAAAAATAACTCACACAAATGCATGCAGATGCACTTCTTTCTCTTGGATAGTTCAAAGATGTCCTGGATTTAAAACTTTAGCCTTGGCAGGCATTTAGTCCTCAAGGAATGTATATTTTGCTAAAACCTGAAAAAAAAGCAAAAAGTTGTGAAATTGAGAAATTAAAAATAAAAGGAATTCTTTTGAAGGGTGATTTTAGAAAGCCAAATCCTACATTTTGGCTTCCATTGGGTATTCTCTCTGAACTCATAAAACATATGAAACTCTAGCTAAGGTCAGAGTTTCAAAATACAAACCACTGTGTGCTAAAAACATATCTAGATCTTGAACTCTCTCCTGGGAGCCCTGCTGGCACCAGGGCTGGTATGGGTCTTCTATGGGAAGAGCAGGACAGCCTTGGCAAGCACATGCAGAGGAATGTGTAGACCTTGATAGGGCCCAGCTTCTCAGTGGCTTTCTGGATACTGCTCTGCAGCAGGGATTTGGTAGTAGAGGGGAGCTGGTACGTTGATGGAAAATATGAGAAATGATGGTCTTCTTCCCCATAGTAAAGCGGGGAAGAAGCAGCACGGACAGCAGGTAGCAATCCCGTTGTTTCACCCCACAGTGAAAACCCAGCAGCTCCAGTTCCTCATCAGTTTTAGGACATGTGCCTACATACACACTGAGCTGCATGCGTATGAAACCATTGTGGCTTGCTGGAAGACACCAGGCGTCTTAACGTGATTAAGATGTTGGCTTCCAGCTAAGCTCTCTACTGTCATCTCTACCTGCTTCGTTAAGTGATGCTACCATCAAGAAATCTCCTTTTAAGCAAAGACAGGAAATTGGGGAGTGGTAGAATTCACACCTTAATTCTCATGTGGACAGACAGTCTTTGCAAGAGATGTTTAGGGGGAGGGATTAAGTGCTTAGAGATCTGGGAGGAAAAACGTTGATACAGAAAACAATATTGTGTGATTTCTGTATTCAATTATTAATGCTTTTGGTTTTGTTTTTAATTTTTGGACACAGGACCTGTGAAGGGCGAAACATCCGATACAGGACATGCAGCAATGTGGTAAGTGAAACATAACTATGATATAATGCAAATCACCTATGAGTCTGATGTACCGATAACTTAAAACAATTCATTAGCAGTGTGATAACAGTAATATGATAGCTATCTGAACTACTTTTGTATCATAGGACTCCTGACAAATCTTCCCCTGTTTCTTGAAAGCTGGAGCGGTTATGGCATAGCATGATGCTGAAACTGTTTGGATGGGATTGCTTTTCTAAACAGAGTGTCAGTGAAACTTCAGAGCAGCTCTGTGTAATTACCCTGGCAGAGTCAAAGAGCGATCGGGTTGCAAGTACTGCTTTGGTAACCGTCTGGTTCAAAGCGGGCCGGCTGTCAGGCTTGAAGATTAAGCTGTTAAGGACTGAAGACAAGTTAGTATGAGATATGTATTACTACTCACTTGTGCCCACCCTGTGCTGGAATTAGGTAGAATGTCTTAGTAAAGGAGTTTCTGATGTCTCAGCTATCATTATCCTCCTGCCAAATATTTTTTCTCTTTTTTTCTTCTGTAGTAGAATGTGGTTTTTAATACTATAAAGTAAGGAGCTTCAAGGTCTGTTCTCATCAAGGTGAAAGTATGTTTTCACTGGTGGAAGTGGAAGTAAAGACTTTAATATGGAAAGTTCTGTTGTGTGCCAAGAACTGTAAAAGCTCTCAAATTACACAGAGCAACGTCAGTTCCATCAGCAAAGATGGAAAATGAAGTCAAATTTTCACTGAGCCAATCTTTCGTATGTCTGATAGGGACAAACACAGAAGCCTTTGAATAGGTGCTTTGTCTGCAAAAGTTAAAAAGTTAATGTTAAAAAAACTGAGTATGTGCCCTCAGATTTGCCATATATTCTCTTCAACAGACCACAATTCACAAAGCAAAGCATTGCTTACTTGTGTTTGAATTCTGATCTCCCATGAATCAAGAATTATGACCTTCTTTCTCACACGTCTGCTTCAGAAGTTGGTTCTGGGGTCACTGAAGCTTCTCATCAGTCTAGACATCTGCTTCAATAACTGACAATCACAGTCAGTAAATAGGCCTGCTGGCTGATTTCACAGTCCAGTTTCCAGCTGTGAGGCATTTATGCTATACCACCATGTTTAAAAAAATGGGAGGGTCAATTTGTGTCAGTCAAGCTGCATGCTATAACACTATTGAATGTGACCAAAAAAAAAAAAAAAAGGAGAGACTATTTTTAGAGCTGATTTGACTTAAGTGGGACTTATGAGCTTTATTTTGGTTTGAATGTGTGTTGTAACAGACCACTTCTTCTTCTGACCTGCTCTGGGGTACACTGAGAAAAGTGAAATACTCCTCTATTTCTGGATCACCCTGCTGAGAGGATTTTACCTGTGTTTCAAACCTTGTTTTGGAATTGTTGAGCTGAGCTTTCTAAGATAAAGATTTTTTTAAATATTATTTTTAACTTAGGTTCTGTTTTGGGCCTGCAAGTCCGGACGGTTTTGCTACTAATTAAACCTTGTAGAGGAAATTCCTTCACTTACCTTGTATTTGACAATTTGCAGCATATGACTGTGGCATGCAGCTCAGAACTGTCTTAATTATACAACACAATATAACCCAAACTGAAACTTTCAAAGTGCTTTACTGTTCTGAAATCAGTGTTATGTTCACCAATGAATTATGAAGACACAGAATTACATTTATAATTTGTAACCTCTTTTACTGAAGACTATAAAGGGTGGATTGTGTTACACTGTTAACGAAAGAATGGAATGAGTTTTCATTTAGTTGTTTTTACTTCACTTGCCAAGCTAAAACTAATTCAAACTATATCCTCAAACTTTTGGCTGCATTAGAGTTCCATCAGGCCTTTCATATATGATTTTATGCCTTTATGGGAGTACTTGGGTGTATTTACTTTGCAGGCATTTGAATTAAGGGGAAAGCATTTCATTTTTTAAGTATGTTGAATCTTTGATTCAGATGCTCTGATGTTCCATTTATCATCTCTGCTATGCCATACCTCAGTATTCCCACTATCAGCCACTACGGTGGCACTGCTACCGTGATCAACAGTTGAGGATGGGGCAGGATCCAGCTGTGGGCTGTGGTGGCCCTTAGCCCTGTGTTTTGGTGCCACCCTGAAGTATTTTGTGCAGAAGTAGTGGAAACCTAAAACAGTTTGGGAGGCCTTGATAGGCAGCTCTGTTCTGAAATTCTTTCTGCTGCTGAACTGTGCAGCGGTGCTGCTGAAGTACTGGTAGTCTCTTTCGAATTCAGAGTAGTAAAAGCAATCTTCTTTTTAATGAAATCCACTGTGTCTCCCTCCAAAAATCCAAGGATGCACACACACAAGTTCACTTTGGAAGCAACTAGTTGTATGGCTTGTTGTAGAATTCTGCACGGGAAAAGACACACAATCATGTGTGCATTTTTGTCTACTGTCTACTCAGACCTTCCCATTTAGGACTCCATTCCAAAAGACATTTGAAAATCAGACCAGATCCAGAGACTGACATTTACGTCTATGCTGAACCATAGTCTGCCACTGGAAAGTGAGAGTAAGCTCTCTTTTTACCCCACAAATGAAGCTTGCTTATAGCATGTTGGGAAATTTCATTTCCTGAGGGAATCAGTTTGTCCTAATGTGTGAGCCTTCATTACCACTAGCTTATGCATAACTTGAGTGCTCTTATTATTCATAAGATAATTAGATATTTAATTATCTACAAACTATCTTTCTCTGAAGTGACATACCTTTGTTGACATAATTGTCTTTTTGTGGAAATGGATGAATAGTCACACAAAAGCATACTACTTGGAAGGTGAAATGGAGGAATACTTCTTGGAGTTTGGCAATGAAAACATTTTTATAGGCATTATCATTTGCAAGATTTTCTACAGATGGTTTTAATTTATCCTGAAATTAAATTACAGGAGGAAAAAAAAAAGAGAGAGAGAGAGAGAGGAAAGGGAGAGAGGTACATCCATTTCTTAAGTGACCTGTGTTTTTCTAGGGATGTTGAACCTTTTCGCACAGTAGACGCTTCTGTCTGTAAAGCTTCTGTGCAGTTGCTAAAAGTGCAAGTCTCATTCAGTATGTTTGCTGCTTCTATCGACTGGTGGGGATCTTAAAATGGGAAGATTTTAGTTATGAAGCCACATGTATAAATAGTGAAAGAAAGAACTAGGGAATCCGAAAATTAACTAGGATTAAATTGCCTCAGTCTTTTTTTCTTTTTAATATCAGTGCTGATTCCAAGTATGTTTCAAAGATTTTAGAATGTTGCCATGGAAGTAGGGGGAAATTACTATGCAGAAAAAAAAAAACAACGAACAAAAACGCAAACTGAGCAAGATTTTTAGAGTGATTTTTTTTTTCTCTCTTTTAGCTATCACATTCTTATTTTGTTCTTCTGGGTGTACTCTCAGTTGTCAAGTTCTTTTCATCTTTTGCATATGGCTTGTCAGGCTAGCTTTTTCACTCATCTCTTTTTCTATCCAGTTGCAACTACTGTAGCATTTTGTGCATTCTCGTCCCACTTTGACATTGAAATCTATCTGAACAAGGTTTGTTGGAACATACAGTCTTTCACCCTTCTCTCCTCATAACAGTTTCAATTATCAAAACTTTTTTTGCATGTGTGCGATTGAAAACATGTTGATTTTGCCCTGATATTTTTCTTCTCATTGCATTGCTTCCTGAGTGAAGCCAGAAAACCTGAGAAGCAGGAGAGCTGACATTCCATTCTCAAAGGTCTTTGCTCTCCGTATTTGCTTGCTCGTTCTTGTCAACATGATAATGAACACTGCAAATAAAGATGCTCTTGAGATACTGATGATTCAACATGAAAACAAACAATGCCAGAAATTGTGCATCACTATTAGTTCTTTGTACATAGTTTAGAACAGTTCTGTAAGTCTTAGATTTAATCTGTAGATCCTAGACTCCATTAATCAGACCACCAAAACTTGTAAATATCATTTATAGTTCTTTTTTCTATATACCTCACTTTCTTAACTTGGCTGAAATACCAGCTCTAAATTACAATGACATTCCCCATTCTTTGGCTTGCTTTCAGACAAGCCACTTCCATCCCTGTTTCTTATCACCTTATGCCGCTTTTTGTAAATGGTCAATGCCAATAGTGTCCCTCCCACTTTTGATGAAGTTACGCTCTTTTCTTGCCATGCAGCAAAGCCTAGCTTGTTGGAAATTTTCAAACCTAAACCTCCAAACAGATACATCATTATTCTCAGACACTTATGCTGGTTTGTGTTTGAAAAGCACTATGTCCAAGTGGAATTTTGTCAGGTTGACACAAATAACAAATAGGATTCATTTTTTTTCTAACGTTTGGTGGGTGCCATATCAGGAATGAGATGTGAGTCATTTTGCAGTCATCGATTTGTCAAAAGCTTTGTCAAAGCAAAGTCGAAGTGTGGACTTTGCAATACAATTTGGTGTTTCCCATACTTGAATGAACTGCACTGTTAACATTTGCTTTGCGGTTCTACTCCAGAGAAAAGAACAAGTAATATATTTATGTCTTTATTAACAGCAAGTTATGTCTATTCTCAGCTTACTTTTTAAGTGAAATGTCTTCCAAACGAGGATAGTTTTTTACAGCATGTTATTCAAAATGCTGGATTTTAATAACTGTCATCTTATTTTTGAACAAGTGTGTTTTAAAACCTCAATGTCAGTGTGTCTTGTTTAGGAATTATTTTTTCTTACTTGGAAACAAATTGCTAATAACAGCTTCTTTGAATTCTGGATATGCTTCTTTGTCAGCAATAAGACTTGTAAGTCTTTGACTATTCAAAAATAGAAAATAAAATTCTGGCATCCTGTATAAATACATTAAGAATATTTATAGACCAGACAACCAAATTCAATTCCATCATGGTGGCGTTTCAGACCTGCTCACTCTGGTTACCTCATAGGACGTAATTTCTGATAGAAATAAGGTCTTAATTTGCACGTCTATTTTTGATCAATGTGGCATCCATGGTACTAGTATGAAAATGCAGTGCT